AATCACATATTTTCTACGTTAAAAACACAATGAATGACATAAATTACAGTACTGCTGGTATTTCTTTTTGTATATATGGATCGTCTTATTAACTAAAAACGCCATGAAGCCCTAGGATTCTGGTGAATAAATAGCTTAGAAAATAAGTTAAGAAAGCCGATGACAGACTCAGCTGGTTTCAGGGTTAGCGAGTTGATATGACAAACCAATAAAACTACAAAACAAATGTAAAATGTACATAACAGAGTACATCTCAGGGTCTTAAACTACATGTGATAAAACTATAATAATAATGCAACATATAATACTTAGACTAAATAAGAGATACCTTGTCATTTAACAGAATAAACTGAGAAGCACATACGTCATAAACGTATAGAAACAGTCGTCAAACTCTAGGAAGTTAATGAACTTAAAGTAAAAAAGTTATTACTATGGACTTTTAATAATCTGATCTCTATTGTATATTTGGAAAATTACTACTATCATTTAATAATTTTGTTAAAGATACCAGTCATGGTGAGGCATTTCTTTAACAACGCATGAAATTGTATTTCCTGTTTTCCCACTTTGTTAAGCTCGAAAAAACAGGGACAGATGACTTCCTCGGAGTGTTGTTCACAACCTTATTGCTGGGATGATTCAGGCAGGAAGAAACTAATATTAAGTTGGTTACAGACGTGCATCTTGGATATACAAGACTGTTCAATTTAAGTTATTTCTTCCTTTTGGACACTACCAATACATTATTGTCGGCAAGCAGCTTGATTACGACAGATCCCCTTTTATAATAACTCGAATGTTAGACAGATTTCATCTATAAGAACTCGAATGTTATGCGTAAAAATAAATAATTGGAGAATAGATTGTTTTTGTAGAGTGTTAACTCGCATCATAGAAATTTGTGCCATATGTGGAAGATGTGTGAAAACTCAACACCACGTAACGGGTATTTTATATATGAAAAACTAAATACGAACCCACGAAAGATGCGATATGATAGAAACCACATTACGCAAGTTGCATGGCCTATGATTGCTGTGTCCAAATGTTCAACGCTTTTCATAACTCGCGGGATGAATTGAAATTTTACTCATACAAAGATACATTGAAAGACTGATTTCACGTCATATGAAAAATCTATATATGCTAATGCATATGTGTTTAACACCTATATAATTAGTTCGAGGCGTATGCACGATCATTTAACAGTGAAATGCCACCAGGATGACCTTATTTATGACTGAAGCTTTCTAATCGGTACAGAGACAAAGGATACAATGTTTAGAAAAATAATTCTTTAATGTTCTTCACGGAAATATAAAAAACAAATCGCATCGTACAAAAAATGGACAGGAAACCAAGACAATCCGGAGCAATGCAGTAAGTATTGCAGTTATAAAATAAAACCTTCCAAACTTGGAAGCCATTATGATGAAGCTAAACATATTTTCTAGTACCATTAGCAAGAAAGTAAACAAAATCTTTGACGAAGAATCACAATCCAATAGTTCAAAAGTTACCTCAAAAACAATGGCTTATTCATAAGAAAACTGGAATAGCTGCAAACCCCTTATAACACATGCTTGTCAAATTACCCGATGGACTTTTGTGCATTTTGTCTGCTTGAACATTGTTCAACGAAGCTGATACAGTGAAGAATGTTAGATTCTAAAGAATGAAAATGTAACAAAATAATACACAACCAAAGATCCAGGATCGTAAAGTTCATGATAACTATGATTTCATAAGTTCAATATACACAACCAAACATCCAGAATCGTAGAGCTGATTATAACTATGGTTTCATAAGTTCAATATACACAACCAAAGATCCAGGATCGTAGAGCTCATTATAGCTATGGTATCATAAGTTCAATATACACAACCAAAGATCCAGGATCGTAAAGTTCATTACAACTGTGGTTTCATAAGTTCAATATACATAACCAAACATCCAGAATCGTAGAGCTGATTATAACTATGGTTTCATAAGTTCAATATACACAACCAAACATCCAGAATCGTAGAGCTGATTATAACTATGGTTTCATAAGTT